CCCTGGACAGGTCGCCAGTCTGTCGCAGGGCCAACACACAGGAACAGACAACCATTCACTCCCACGTTCACACCTATGGGCAATTTAGATTTTTCAGTTAACCTGGGGATAAAAGCACTATGCATGTACAAATTGATTTGCAATCTTTATTCTACTGGCTAGTTGTTGTTTTTTTTTTACAAGAATATATTGTTTTTTTTAGTGAACAGTAGCGTATGTTAATTTGTTAGGCTGAATACTTACCTTAATATAAGAAGGCATACTGCAACAAGAGTGTATGCAAAAATGGTCCCAATAGAGCTCATGTCCACCAGTGCCTTGAGGTCAAATAAAAGGACCATGAAAGCTGCAAAAAGATCAACATACACCCAACTACAGATGACACAAAAGTCTACAATTTAACACTTGTTAAAAATGTTTAGACACTAATTTGCTTTGACATTTTGTCAAGGAGCAACAGAAAGACCCTGTGTGCAGAACTAGAGGCATCAATGACAACTACAACATTAAATAAGATAAAGCCTCAAATGAGTAAAGCAGAAGAGGGTGTAAAGCAGCTTTACAAATTCAGAAAAAGTGAGAAGGTGACAGAAAATCTATGTTAGTCACAAAAGTTTGATTCTGTCCATCTGGACGTAGCGTTTTCAGTGGGAGATTTATTTACCTGGACAATTGAGCATGCATCAAGACACTATGTTAGATTTACTGGTTGGAACCATTTGAATGCTTATGTCAGTAGCCTCCACCTACAAAATAATTCCAGTTTTGGGTGTTGACATATTGTTGCCCCTCTGCTGCACCTGTTTTTGATTTCGTGAACACCAAAAAAGTTGAAATTGGCTAATAACCTATTTGCTAGGGGTTAAAAAGAGCTGCCTTACCAGCCACAGCTCCTGAGGACAATGTAGCCAAGACAGGACTTTGTCTGGAACTCATGTAGCTGAGTGGCTTGAAGAGCAGGCCGTCTCTGGCCATGGCATACAGCACCCGTGGCATTGGCAACATCACTCCCAGCAAACTGTGAATGACATATCAACTGTATTTTAAACGTCAAATTACAGGTACAGCAAGTTGCACATCACAGACTTCACAGATGAGCCATAACTACAACAAAGAATGAGATGTAGTTTTATATGCCATTATTTGGCTTTGGTAGCACAAACACATACAGGATAGACAAGCAAAGCCACTTTCAACAAGAGCTGAACTATGATTTCTGACAATAGGGAGAGCTTCTTTCTTCTATTCTTTTTACTTTGTTGCCTATAAGATGGCTACAAATAATTAATATCAACTTAGTAGCTGAAAGGTGCCAAAAACTGCCGTTTCAAAAGCACTGCATTGCCCATACACTCCCATGTTAAAATGGCCAGCTTATTAGCATTAGAAACATGGATAGAGCCAGATATATATTTTTTAAAGAACAACAACAACAAAAGAAAAAAAAACAGTACTGGACTCTGGATATTTTCCATCATCATGTTGTACTGAGGTTGTATTATTTTCATTTCTAACAACTAATAAGCCAAATAATGGCTTATTTGATTATGTTCATGGAGCTGCAGCCTTAAGCAGTCTGCTATTCCTCTGATAACTCCAGTCATTGAAATGGACTTGTGGCATTTGTGCATGTGAATGAATTAACATGCATCTCGTTCGACAACTTCTCCAGTTTCTGTGATTTAAATTCTAGTATTTAAACAGTCCATTACTTAGCTCCATTTATCATGTGTGTGTGTCTAGAACAGGGGTGTCAAACTCAAATACACAGTGGGCCAAAATTCAAAACTGGAACAAA